GCATAAATAAGACAAGCATAGAGAAGTGCAAGTTTTCTGAGAGTTGATTTTAACTCGTTATTTGTTTAGCGAAGTTTCAAGGTTGTCGAAGTAATTCTGAAGGTAAATGCAAATGAGTCTGATATTTTCTGCTTCGGTGAACACTGTTGCATCATGAGCAAAAAAAGATGATTTGAATTTTAGAATTATACAGGAAATCATGGCTATAAATACTAAAAAAAAAAAAAAAAAAAAAAAAAAAAAAAAAAAAAAAAAAAAAAAAAAAAATGAGGCCCAGTCCACTAAACTAAGGAACACCTGCGTTGATGCTTTAGTAGTAGAGCAGTTTTTAATTCTGACTTTGAATTTCGGATTATTCAGGAAGGCGACAATGATGAAGATGGTAAAGTCAGGAATTTTGAGATAAATAAGTCTATAAATTATTCCAAAGTGCCAAACTCTGTCAAACACCTTTGAGATATCTAAAAAGACGGCACCGGGTCAGATTTTTAGTGTTAAAATCTTCGACTATCATATAATGACCCGAAATAGTTGGTGTGTTGTTGTTACCGTGAAAGACCGAAATTGGAGAATGTCGACTTTCACCGGAGAATGTCAACACTCACCAAATACGTCGGTGAAAGATCGAATATTGCATTATATTCTTGTACATTCGGACCCTCACCGGTGTATGTCCACAATCACAGATATGCTCTGGTGTAGGTAGAAAAGAGAGGAGTATATGTACATGCTGTCATTGCAAAAAGAAGTGTTCCACAAATAAATGCAACTGTAAAAGCAAGGGCCTCTTGTGTAATTCAAAGTGTCAGAGTAGTTTAAGTTGTTGCAATAAATAAGATTTGAATAACATAATTTAGTAAATTTTTAACTTCTATTATTTTCCTTTCTCATTTTGAATGTACTGTGTGTTCTAAGTTCTTATTTTAAGTCTCAAGTGCGTTTTTTCGCGACAGAATTACGGAGAAGAAAATATAATATTCTTATATATTCAACATTCACCATTAGTACATGGTGAATGCCGACATTTACCGGTGTAAGTCAGAAATAAGAGCATTTGGAAAATATTTCGGACATACACCAAGCGACTATGTGAATGTTGACATTCACCGGTGAAAGTCGACCTTCTCCAGATTTCGGTGTTTCACCGTAACATTGTCACGAAATTCGAATGGTTCTGGAGGGAGAATGTCGGCGTTATTGCAGTTAGCGATTAGCAGATGAAGAATAATGCGTTCGAAGATTCTGGAAAATGCACTAAGGAGGCTGACAGAACGATAGCTCCGCAGGAAGATTTTGTTCTGGTTTGGTTTGAGAAAGGTAATAAATTCTTCCAATTTGTCGGGAAGGGCTGGAGTTTCAAATAAGAGTTCAGGATCTTATTGATAAAAGTGATGGCTTTAAGAATGAAGATCTTGGTGGTTATATTAGAGATTGTTGACAGGAGCAGCAGCTTTACTAGGTTTGAGATGTTTGATAGAAGTTGAATTGGTAGTGGTGTAATACAGTGGCATAGCGAGGGGGAGCAAGGGGGTGTATGATGTCCCGGGCGCCTATCACAGAGGGGCGTCAAATGGTCTCCAAACAAGATTTTCATCCTATCACTGTGTTCTTTTCAGTGAAGGGGGCGCCAAAAAGGTATTTTGCTCCGGGCGCCAGTTATGCTCGCTACTCCACTGGTGTAATATACGGAAAAAGGCTACAAGGGCCCTGGAACCTGAGTAAAGAGTTGACTGTAACTAACTTTCTGAATGATATTCCGATCGTAAGGTTCAGCATTATTCAAGAAAGTGACTTCGAGAGTATTAGCAAGACAATTAGGCTCTTCGTCAGAGTAGATGATGCCATCAAGGTCAGGAAGAGGAGAGTACTTTTTTGTTAACTTCCACTAATGTCAAAAAGAGCATCATCTTCAGTAGCGAATTCAGGAATCCTTGCCATTTCTTCTGACGATGTTTCCTAAACTCTTTAGCCTGGAGGGGAGAGAATTGTATATTCGTTTATAGGTGAGGTCGCAGGTAGTTTGCAAATGCTTCCTGGTTCTGCTTTTCGGTCTAATGAGATCTTTAAGATCTCGAGGAATAAAAGTAGGAGGTCTACTGAACTTTTTTAAGCTAGTAAAATACTGAATAGCACTGTTGATTCCAGCAGTAAAAGCAGCAACTGCAGCATTAATATTATTCTTGGTAGAGATGGTACGATTACCATTGATAACATCATCAAGTTTTGCAGCTTATTTGATCCAGCTAGTGATAGAAAGGGTAGCAAATAAAGGATTGACACTCAGCAGAGTTTTTAGGCTAAGTAATACAGGACTGTGGTTGAAAGCAACATACTAAGAGAGCCGAAATAGTTGAAAGAAGTCTGTTGTAAAACTGCTTAGTGCAAAGTAATGCGTAGGATGAACTGAAGCCAGGGTGGAGAAGCCGTATTGCTAAAGTTGAGGAGCTGGTTACCACGAGCTCTGGAGTAACTGTTATTCTAAAGTTGACGTTTAGCGTTCCAGTCTCCGCTTATGATACATTTCACTTGCTTTTCTGAAGATTTATTCCCCCAGTGGTAAGTGCATCCAGTTTAACATGACAGTGGACGATCTACTGAAGGTTTTCGTCACTTCAACCAATACTTGGACTTCATCTTTTGCATTTACGGACCTTAATTATTATTCGCTGAAAAGCATCATGCACCTCTTCTTTTTTTTTTTTTCACTCATGTAATTTCTGTGTAAAGCACTAACCACATTAACTTACAATCGCTTCAGGCTATAGTATGGGTGCAAATGAGACTCCAGGTAAGAGCTAATGATAGCTGTCTATCTGGAGGATTAAAAACATGTCAACTACTTCACAAACAGACTTTTCCCCCTGAATAAAAAAGGGGGATTAATGCCCGACAGTATTATTGTGACTACACTGGTTGGCAAAATTTTGCATGCACTGGGCAGCAATTACAAAAAATGGACCAGGAGGCTGATATCAGGCGGAAGAAAAATCTAACCCTGAGTCTTCCTATATTTGACCATTCTCGAAATCGATAGAATTTTATTGAAAACCTACTTTAATATAATCTATTTTTTGACCTAATTTTAAGTATGAATGATAGGCGGATGATAGAGTCCAAATATAATTTAAGTGCCCCTATCTTTAGTGGCCGAGTAGATAAAACCACTGCACGACAGTAATTTGACTTGGGTTCAAAACCCTGAAAACCTGTCGTCATGTTTCGCCTCTTGTATAACGCGAATATTAGTCATTTATAACATACTTAATGAGGGCATCTTTTGCCTTCATTAAGTACCTTAAGTTGCAGGAAAACCTCTGCAGTACTATAATCAAAACAATCCAGCCACATCTACCTTTATCCGAGTATAAAATATAATTTATACTCAAATAAAGGTAGATGTAATTGGACCATCTCCATTTATCAAGTCACCTTTTCAATAACCCCATGGAAACGGGAGAAGGATCTCTTAAATACGAGAGAAATTCATTAAGTAAATCACAATTTGGCATGATATACTTGAAAATAGCAATTATTACTTTCCGTAAGTGGCAAAACTGTCCTAGTTCATGATTACTAAGGACCAGATGTATATGCGTAGTTCAGTCTGAAATTGCTGATGTAACTCGATGACTGTACAAGAAAAGAGCAGCGTGATGCTTTTTTTTTTTTTAATTAATTAATTTATTTTTTTTTATTATAATGTTTCTTGCTTATGGAAAGACGTGTTTTTTTTTCTTAAAGCTACAAGCGAGTCGAAACATTTCCTCAAAGCCACTCAAAAGTTTAAGATTGAAAATTCCTCAAGACTCAAAGTTTAAGACTAATGTGCGAAAACATCTCAAAAATTAGCACAGTCGAGGAATTTAAGTGATAGGTTCTTTGAAATAACAGTTGAGTAGTATCAGTATGAGGACTATATGATAAAGTTATAATCGTAGGATTCAGTTTGAGGATATTGCGATTTACCAAGACACTGATATAATGTAGCAGTTTAGTCCCTTAATAAAAAGACCACAACCAGCTTTACAAATGATTGACGATGTTCAAGACGAAGACCTAATCTGGCTGATACAGCAACCTAAAGCTTTTAATAAGTCACAAATCTTGCGTTTGTGACTTATTTATTGACTTTTCTTTGAATATTAAATTTATTATAATTCTTTAATGACGATTTCTACATATTAAAACCCTAGTAAATTTTAATTTATAGACATAAAAAATTGGAACTTAACCATCTTCTGCAGTGAAACCTGTATTTTTTTAAAAGGAAATTCTGACATTTAATAAGAAGGGTAAGAATAAACAACATATAACGATTTATTACATTCCTCGTTTCATTTTGCATCTTGCAATTATTTTGTGTTTGCCTACGTACTCAGTTATTTTTTACGAATATCAGATAATATGCATATCTTTGTTTTCGTCTAATTAAAAAAACACAACAAAACTGCTTAAAAACTGCATCTAGGTGAAAATGTTAAAAAATGCAGCTTCATAATTTGGATAAAATGCTGACGATACAATAAATACAATGAATATATATTTTAATAAAACTATTGAGGTTAACTAAGTAAGAGAAATTCTTTAAATAAAATTAATGCTATATTAAAAAAAAATAAAGTTATTATTACAATACATGGACGTTTTCTGTCTCGTTTTTTCATTAATAAATGGGAAAACAGCTAAATATTAGCAGTTGTCTCAGCTCAGTTCCCAACGGAAAGACTGGCTGCATGAGGCTTTTGCAGGTTTTACTGCGTAAAATTTGAATCAGTCAGTATTCTTTAGAAAGTTCTCCAAGAAGGCATCCATCCTAACACACGTGTGCTTTGCCATAATAAGGTAACAAACCATTTTAGTACGTATATTAAGTTTCTAATACGTGAATCTATATTAAGTGAAGCATTAAATACTCGTAAGAGCTTACTTCATTTTAATATTGATTTCAAATGAATTAGTTTTAACTAATAAGAATCTCGATTTAATATTTTTACTTTCAGTACTTAACTAGTTGGGTCGATTGTACAAACAGCCTTGGACAGAATGTCAGAACATCAGCTGACATAATTAACTACAGATGTAAGAGCGTTTGGGAAGGAAAAGGCGTTATACCGGTAAGTATGTGAATTTTTATACTTTTCTAAAACTGGTATTAATTTGAGACCACAAATAAAATGTAGAGCAGATATAACCGAATACGAAAAAGAAATTACCGTCCATACGATGATACCACTTCTTATAAAGATCTTAGAACACAAGATAATTATGATGATAATAATAATAATAATTATATATATATTTATGAACAAAAATGTTTAACTGATAAGTGAGAATTTTGTATTTTCTAATTTATTTCCTTACAGATGTTGAGATTTCATAGCAAATAATATTTACTTTACGCTTTTTATATTTAGGAAGTATTTTACATCAAAGACTGTGTAATCGAGAAAACGGGACTGCCAGCAAAAAATGTATCTGCAGAAGTACTAGGAGCGTATAAGGTAAGAGTTCTTCTGTGTATTTTAATTTTGATAAATCACTTATTCTTGATCAGCACCTGGGATACCTGAGATAGATAGATTAAAGATACTGAGATTAACAAAGACTGTATCACATAGTAAGTAAGGCTGTCTCTTTATACATTCATGTACTTGATTTCAAATACGTAATTAGACTTTTGCTATGACCTTCAGTTTTTGAAGGACGCCATTTAGTAATATTTAATGCTTCGAAAATTATTTTCTTACTTTGCTTCCTATTTATATACTCCATTTCCTGTTTGTCGTTAAGTGTTACTACAAACCAAACTGTAATTCTTGATAACGCAAATCCTATTTAATACATTAGCTCACATCCCTATGTTAAATCTATGAACAATAACAAAATCCTCTTATGAAAGATACAATGCGAAAGTGAAGGGAATATTTCCTCCGTGTAAAAATATAAATATTACTTGGGCATACAAGGCCTGTGTATAAGCATAGATATGTTGATTACAAACATTGTCTTGTACAAGTTACATATGATAATTATAATATCGGGGGGGGGGGGGAAACTGAAAGGTTTCAGATTTTAAAAAAGTACAAAGGGCTTTTTTTTTTTTTTTTTTTTTTTTTTTTTTTTTTTTTTTTTTTTTTTTACGTTTGTATGTTCATTTATTTATTAAATATCATGTTCTTTGCACTTAAACGTTCATAAGTCAGTTTTCACAGCAATACCGCAAAATAATTTTAAAATGGGCATATCTTTAGAATTTCCGATACACAGTTCCGCGCGCTGAAGATAAAAAGGTTCCCCCCCCCCGGAGATAAAAAGGTTTTCCGTAGAGTGTTGCCATTGCTCGCTTTTAAATCCTTGAGTTTGTTAATCAAACATTCGTTAAAGTTTTACAAAATATGAAATAGATAATAAAACAAATTCCATATTCTAAATTTGGGACTCCAGATGCCCATATTCGGGTGAAAACGTATTTTATTCAAAACTGGATGGCTCTAGGTACCGTTGTTTTGTCACAATGCGAGAAACATACATACATTCATGCAGATTCTTTATTATTTAATTTCTTTAAATATAATACAGGGCGATTATATATAATATATATATATAATATACAAAGGGTAAATTTTTATTATAATTTAAATATAATACAAGGCAAATTGCCGCTTTGGGGCGATTCGCCCTGAAGGCTTTAAAAAAAAGGTACAGTTCTATATCTTCCGTTCTGCTGAGCCGCTTAACGAAATTCAAACTGCGTTTTTCATGTCTCGAAAGTGCGATTTAGGATATATATTAGGATAGTTATATACAACATTATTTTAACATAGGTATTTTGACACAAAATCAGGCTTTTTCTGAAATGACGTGCCAAAGTTTTTTCCATATTTCGACTCGACGACTCAAATTATTCCTAAATACTAAATTTTGTAAAATTTGGTACGAAATTTACGGAGAAAATCAAAAATTTAACTTGGCGCATATTTTTCAGTTTGTGCCAAGAATAATTCACTCAGCGAACTTCTTACTTTATAGCAACCTTTTTTTTTCTTTCCTTTTTTTCATTGCAGACGAGCGGGAAAAAAGTCATCGTTCATACTTTCAAATAGAGCCACCAGTAGCCGAGCGGTAAAGTCGCTAGACTGGTAGTTCGGTTCGGCTGGCTTCATGGGCGTTTTCGTGGTTTTTCCCATGTGTAACGTGTATACGAGCCAGTTTCCCTTAGAAAGTCCTCCACGAAGGCATCCTTCCCCCTTAGGCAGATAGCCCTAGTGTGCTTTGCCGTAATCTCAATAAACCAAACCAAACCATACTTTCAAATAATTTTAACAAGGTGAGTAAACCACATTTGACGTTATTATCGCTTATAACAAATATGCCAAATTTCAAAACTCGTCAATATGTAAATTCACGTATATCTTAGTAAATTTTGAACAAAAATCTCTAATTTTTTGCAGAGACATTAGGTTAATTCGAAACAGGAGAAATGAAAAATGAGCAGCGCCATCGCCGGGAATCGAACCACGGACCTGTGGAATACGCGCCCAGCGTACAGACCACTACACTACGAAGGCATGCTAAGAAGGTGGAAGAAATACCTTATAGGTTATAATTCAAAATGTTTTTTGAAAATTCATAAAAATTATTTAAAAAATACAAATTTTAAAAATAAATCATAAAAAATCGGTGAATTTTATTTAGAATGAACCTAAATTTCGAAATGCGAAAGGAAGAATAAAACAAGTTTATTAAGATAAAGAGATATTAACAAATACATACCAAATTCATTTAACATTGACAAGCTAAAATTTTGAGAGCTAATTTTTTAAAAGCTACTTCCACGATTTTTACAAAACTTGACAGTTTGGCTTAATTTGAGGCGTAGAATCGAAATATGGAAAAAAATTGGCATACCGATTTTGCATCAAGATACCTATATTAGAACAATACTATATATAAATCTAATACATATTTTAAGTCGCGCTTTCGAGACATGAAAAACGCAAGTTGAATTTCGTCAATCGGTCCAGTAGAACGGGAGATATCGAAGTGTCCCCCAAATGTTTTTTCCCTTTTCCTTTGATGACGCGTGGATATCTAACACCTTGGCGTCTACTGCTGGTTGCATTATCATTTAGCCACTTTGCATAAATACTAACAACGGCAGATCGTGAACAACCTACCATTCCTGAAGTTTCGGAGATACTCGTTCCGAGTCTTCGAGCCGTTACAATCTGCCCTCTGTCAAATTCACTTAGATTAGTAGACTTTCCGATCAATGGCAAAAGTAAATGCAAGAATGACTCTTTACCTATCCGAACGTGTATCGCACGAAGCACAAAGTGTTTGGCTTGGTGAGTTAAAGCTGGGTGGACACATGACGTTGTAAGTCTGGACCGTTAGCAAAATAGAGGAGAAGGATTGAGGTAAGTACTCGGATGAATCACAAAGCCGATAATGAAAGATGAAAGCAGAAAAGATAGGAGCAGGGCACAACGCACATAAGCATGCATTGAAAAATTGTGAAGGTGAGCAAACACACCTCTGACAATAAATTCAATGATGTGTAAATAAAATAGCAGGGTTTTTAAAAACTCCTAAGTGCAAATACGTAAAAAACAAACAAAATACAATAAAAACAGTAAAATACAACATAAATAGAGAGGCAAAATACAAAAAAATATATACAGTACATATAATTTACAGTCATTATTTACAGAGATATCTAAGTAATCAATCAAAAAATTGGACCGTGGGCCGCGAGGACGGAGGTCTTAACCACCATATTCTCACTAAGAATAATATAGTCAAACACTTTGCATATGCGGACAGTTCCGTGCTTTTGAGAAAAAGTTATCATTCATTCTGTGAAGAAAAGTCGTTGTGCAGAGTACGGTTGTAAACAAAATAATGCGCATGAATCATGACTCTTAATAACTTGTTTTGCGTGACTTGCAGTTTTTCTAAGTCCTTGTTCCTTACGGCCGCCCACGCGGGCGAGGTGTACGAGAAGAGGGGTCTAATGACCGCAATGCAAAGATGCCGTTCTAAGGTACAGTTTGGATTCAGAATTTAGCAGTGGACTCTGTATAGCCGATAGTTTTTCCTCTACCGTAGGCCATATGGTGTTTCCAAAGTTTTCATCGAAAATAATACCAAGATATTTTGCTTTTTTAATTACGAGTACTTCCGTATACAAACGTTGTAGTTTGGTAGAAACTGGAGTTTGAGAGCTTTTTTCGGATAATAAGAAATTGACTTTTGTCTGCATTAATGGAAATTGTCCATTTCCTGCACGAGAATTCTAGTTGTGGCATGAGCGACTGTAATTTATTGACGGCTAAGTTGGGACACGCATACTTCACAGCAAGAGCCGTATCATCTACGTAGCAGCTAAGAAGTAGTTATAATCCATGTTTTTCTTTTGCAGGTCAGCCACGTAAAAGAGATATAATAAGGACCCAAGAATTGAACCCTGGGTGGACGCCTGCATTGATACGTTTGTTTTCGGATGCGTCGTTGCCTAAGTGCACGTAGAACCTTCTACCCTTAAAAAAGGGTGTATAAGCTCTATTTCATATTGATCAGCTTGAAGATAAGCCCCTCATGCCAGACGCGGTCAAAAGCTTTTGCCACGTTCTGTCTATTGTGAATAGCACTTCCAATGTACTCATTAAGTCTTACTAGTTGTTTGGTGGTTGAAAGTGACCTCCGGAAACCGAACTGTTCTTCTGGTAGTTTTTCCAAGTGAGATTGCATTCTGTTAAGAATTACTCTTTCGTATATTTTATCAAGGCCCGGAAGAAAGCTGATTGGCCTATATTTTCTTGGTTTGCTTCCATTGCCTTGGAAAGCAAGCATTACTTAAACAAGCGTTGAAAATTCCTGTGTAACAAGCGATAATGCCAGGAGGAAGATTCTTGATTGCTACATTATTTATATTATCAAAGCTGGGAGCTTTTTTATTTCGTAATTTTTTAATGATCTCCGAGATCTCTCTGGGATTAGTGAATTCAATATTATTTTCATTATTGGAATTGTTTAGCCATTAACTCTTTACCTTTTTCAGCAGCAGTTGGTTGCATATGAAACGATTACTTAAAGGTAAGGTGAATTCTAATTGCTGAGAGGAAAGTAACAGATAGAAGTTAAGCATATTTTTCGTACTATACTAACATTCTATGTTAAGTGAAGTGAAAACATGGGTGATTAAATGATTTGTTGGCTTCAGCGAACACTGGTTAAAGAAAATAAATAAATAAAACCTCTAAGCTCAGTGGCGCAACAGCCCTAGTGGGCCACGGCCTGCAGCGCATCAAAATCTGCTTTCTTAACCTTGGGCCCCGAAGTGCATTAACATATGCCCTGGACAAGTGGTCAGCTTGTCGCAGGACCCCCGGTGTTTAGTCCCCAAGCGAAATTGGTACTCATTTCATCGACCCGTTCAAGGGATGAAAGGCTGAGTCAACCTTGCCCAGCCCGGGAATCGAACCCCGGACCTGTGGTG